GTGAGTTCAGTGGCCGCAAAAGCTTCAAATCATATATTAATAAAAGTATAATGATTTTTTTTCAGTCCTTCCACGACAGAGCCGGACGTAATGTCCTTGAACAAGACACGATAGTTCTCCGATTCTGCGTACGTAATAATAATTACCGCATTGCGCAGGACGCACGTCACGTGTATTTTCCCAGCGTGAAGACCCTGAACACCGGGAACCACAATCACACTGCGACATGTCAGAATCTGTCTCCCTTACGGACGAAGTGATTTTCGCCTAACCTAAGCTATCGCTGTCCTTAAGGTATGAGACAGTTCCTTATCTTTCCCACCGGACTTGTGGCGCTAGTGTGAAACTACCGGAATTTTGTTAAGGTCGGCCTTTGTCTACGCTTGCCACGTCAACTTAAGACATTACATGTTCATAAAATTCGTTGCTCTAACTCAGACTTTGCTGCCAAATGTTTGCATTGACTTTGGAATTGTTATCCTGACGTCGAACATTAAAAATCGGTAACGCTAATCACGTAAAGTAGAACGGTGCCTGTTAGCATCATTTGGTTCTCTGTGTACGGTAACCAAATACAAGTATTCATTTTACATTCCCACATATTGCGTTCCCCTCAGGAAGATTTTCACATAGAATTTGGTTAAAATAAGATAGACACAACATACATCAAAACACTGAGTGGAATATCTTTGATTTTATGGAATGCAACTGTCTAAGTCAGAGGACGAAAATGTCTTCCTGAAGCAGTAATTGGTTCTAGGAAACACAGATTGAGAACCACGAAACGTATAGTTTATATTCATTCTTTACCAACACGATAAAATACCTTGAATCTCATTGTACCCATGACAGATTAAAGGCTCATCAACTACAACATCTATCAGCGTCACAATTTTGTCTTATTTTTGGTTCAAATGCAGTGTCCACTATGCAATAAAAACGTATACGGAAATATGATCAGATCACTTGAATCACTCATTTCAAAGAACAGAACATTAAATAAGCTTCAATTTTGGGGGGATTTCTTTTTTATTTTCACCGAAATGTCCGAGTTCTGGTCGATCCGCCACTGACTGCCGGAACACGAATGCCCCCATTACACAGTGTTTAGCGGCCACTTCACTTAGTGAAGCTGGTTGCACCACAAAAAGAAAAGTACAATGTGAACAAGTCCGCTACAAGTAAATCTGCGTTTCTGAAACACGTAAACGACGCGTTAAAAGTTGGCGACGAGTA